AGTATTTTAATTAAAAACTGATAAAACTGTTTTTTTTTCTGGAATTTGTTCAGAATTGAATGCCAGTGATATGGTACTTAGAGACAATACTTTTCTTTCCCTTATCTAAATTCTTCACTAGCTGACTTTGCTATTGCAATTTCTTTTGTCATTCACTAATATTCAGACATTCCCTTAAATAGCGATAGAGTTAACAACACTTTCTGTGTGCTTCGGCGCCTCATCATTGTCTTTTTTTGTCACCTTCATTGAAGGAGAAATAAACGCGTGGATTGCAATTCCCGTTTGAGAGAAACATTCGTGTTGCGAAGTTTTCGGTAGCCGCCGGAGTACAATCTTTCCCGCCCGATTGCCAGCCATCTGCGCCGACAGTTGTTACGTTAATGGGTATTCTGAACCGATCATTGGCGAATTGCGCGCTGTTCCAGGCCCTCGCGTCCTCTCCTGATGGACGGCGTTCCCCACCCGTGCTCTCCAGCAGCGCATGCCGTCACCACGCCCGCCGCCATTTTGCTAATGAGTGACCATCCCCCCTCCCCAACCCCTCTCTCCCTCGTTACTTTAAAAGCTTCTGCCATCCGCGCGCGCTGCTGTCTTCATTCGTCCAGGTGAATGCCAACGGGCGCGCGCTCTCAGTTAATTGTTTTAAATCGTTTGCCGGAATTGCGCTGAAACGGTGCTCTCGTCGAGCGTGTTCAAACGAATAAAATACAGTTCGTTCTGAGTGAGATGGTTCCACCCTGTTTCAAGGTATCTCAAAATTTACTATTATTGCTTTAGTAATACTGTGCTTTAATATCATCTTAACGTAAGCAGAGGAACTGAAAGCCTCTGTAACGGGTGGCGTCTGTTTAGAATATTCCAAACAAAAGAGTTGAAACTAATGGCGTATGTGTACTATTCCAAGAAATGGTATATCTAGTTTACCCGATTGTTTCCTATAAGATGGTATAATGAAAAATATTGGTCACTCACGGACAGTCTAATAACAGATAGTCTAATAACAGATGGGACTGAAATTTGTTAACCGAAGCGGAAGGCCGAGAGTTAAAGCCAACGGAATTATTTGCTCTTTGTGGGTCAAACGTTAACGGTTAATACCTACATCATCACCATGTTGTTGTCGCTTCGTGAGGTGAAGTTCGTTCGTCGACAACTATGATTAAATAATTACTCTAAATAAGTATTTTGTAATAATAGCCGTGCACAACAGGACACGACTTTCTCGCGATCAACCTTTCCCATTGGATTTTCTTCATATTTTGTAGTACCAGTATCTAGTTGAAGCTCCCTAGTACCAAAGTCAATCAATTAGGCTAGGGTTAAAACGTTGGGTCCAAAAATTCTTGAGGAATTTTACTGATTACAATACTGCACACTCGTTAGTTGAGTTAATATTATACTAGTACTAACATGTGTAAGTACATTTTAAAAAATTGTGTAAATAAAATAAAACTATATAATCATTTCCACGAAAATTTTATATGTGCGTTTTGTTGCTGAACCTATGAACGTTTATTCGTTAAATAATATTTTTTTTAAATTTATTAGATTTCACTCTAATACGATTTGGTTCATTCAAGTACTTCTGTTATCTGTGTTTGTACATAAACAAGTAATTCAGTAGCATTTTGCAATGATCTATTCCATCCTACCAGTAATTACTTCCAAATATTATTTTGGAGTTTCCAATTGGCATAATTTTAAGCATTGAATTTCATAATTACAAATTCTTTATTTTAACAATAAAATTCCAAATTATTTCACCAGAGACCTGTTTTTACTGAATCACAACATGGACAACTCTGTGTTCTCAATATTACGTCGGTAATTACTGACTGAATGAATGATTTATAATAAGTTTGGTTTGGCTAAAACATGTATTGCAAGTGCTATAATTTCACTCTCAGACGTATCTGTATATTTTGTTTTAGGACTGAATATTATTCGAAAAATTTACATTCCTCTCTCACAGAGCTCAGCAAACACCAAAATCGAGCCCACGTAGGGAATTGAATCCGCAGACACGCACACAGACTGTAAGCAAGTTAGCGATGAAATAGCCGGGGAATTTTTCTTGAATAAAAATGAAGCGCTTGCCTAAAAAGTTGGGCCTGCTGCTTGTTGAATGGAATGGTATTAAATTCTGCGATCCCCAGCATGATTTATTATTTCGCTCTGCTGCTACATTTTCCTACGAGCGACGACTGGTTTTGAGAGGTGCTCACGCGGGGAATATCGCGAGTGATCGTCGCTGGCTCTGCCATTTCCCGCGTCTTTGTCCCCTGTTGTCCCGAAGTTTCTCGCCATTGGAATTGTAAAACTACCAGCGGCGGATTAAAGCAGCCGACAGACTGTGGTAAACAACTTTCGCCTCCGAACAATATGCAATTACCCACTCACAAAACAAGGCGCGTAATAAATTTAATGAATTCCTAAATTAAAAACTACAACACAAAAGGTTTTCTGCCTCCTATAAAAGAGCGTACACTAACGAGTTGTGGGAGACAATTTATGTAAAACGGATTGCGTCATAATTACAAGAAGTTTGGAAGCCTCCGCCTGAGTCGGACGTTGGGAGGGGGCCTCTGCGAGAGTATGGTATGTGCGCCTCATGGAGCGAATTAACCCCAGGTATAGCACTGGAACAGGTAAACGAGATACCGTGTGAGGCTAAAGGTGAGTCACCAGTTGATATTGTCCCGATTCACTAAATTGCTTTTATCTCGCTATATGTCAGGAGAAACACATACGAAAATATTGTCACCATTGCAAGTTAAATTCGATTGTGTTATTGAAATTAAAGCATATGAACCTACAATAATAATTCTTTAAATTTAATCAGTTTATTTATCCAAAACTATTACAGTAATTGAGCAACGAAGGTTCTTGGAATACCCAAATATTTACGGTATTTGAAAACGAACGCTTTATATTTGTAACACTCATATCTTTGTGATTGATCCATTGATGCCTTCAATTACTACAGGCATTCAGCAGGATTAATTTATTGGTGTTCGATTGAATCACTTGAGAAATATTAACAATACTTTAAAACGTGACACTTGTTGCATATTTCAATGAGTCGTTCATTCGCTAAGTAGCTACAATGAAAAAAACATCTCGTGTAGTGAAAAATAAAATCAGTAAAAACGCTTTTTATTTTCGACGGATTATTATACTGCGCAAAATAGTATCCTGAAAGAAATCTAGATCCTCTTTGAAACACTGAAGAAAAAAATAAAAATAAAAAACGCCGTGAAAATATTTCACTCTTGGCATTTTTGTGTACTTGGTCTAAGCCAATGACAGGGCTTTGAGAAGCAAATACGTGAAATCTGGAGAGTCAAAGGATTAAAATCGCGAGGGATCAAAGCATTTGCAGCGTGACGTTTGCACGCGAATCGTTTTATTTTGTTATTTATTCAGCGTAGGAGGGGGGAGGGGGCGCCTCTTGAGCTCATTAGTCGCGTCCTCCCCAGTGCTGCCAACGTCGGAGCGTCACATTGCCTCCCTCGGGACAGTCGCTTACGAAATTTGCCCCTGTGCGGTTCCCATTGGCCTCCCTCTGGCGTGGAATGAGTTTTGTACACGATTCTCTGAAATATCCTTCTCGATTCACCTCGTTTTAGGATTTTTAATTAGCGCGATTGGGTAACACCGGGTTTATTGAGCACCTATCAAACAATGCTTTGCTTTTAAAGAAAATTGACACTTTGTTTTTACAATGTAAGGGATTATACCAACAATTGTGCATGATACCTTGAAATGGTAATGTGTCAAAGTGTTTTTGGTCATTCATTCATTCATTGACGTTTTTGATGTATGCATTCACAGCTGTGGAATAAATGTTTCATGTAGATTCCAGTACACTGTGTGCCAAATTCCAAAGGAACCAGGAATTACTTCAAATTTTCACCTTATTAGCAATTAACGTACCAATAGTTAAAGCAGTGAAGTTGGCAAGTGAATTGAGAATAAAAGACTAGATTGTATGGTGCATTTATCACTTTATCATCTTTATTACCTCCTGGATAAAGTATGGCATAAAAGTACTACAAAAATAATTATACGTAATTCGTTTTTGTATTTTAGATGTTGGGCGAACTGTAGTAGTATTTCATGTAATAATATAAAGAGGATAGCAAAATATGATTGACAGAATAATGAGTAACGGAAGTTCGTTTTAAAGCAGACAGAAAAATTATATAGATTGTCGAAAGAGAAAATAATTTGACGTTGTCAGTAGTGGAGAAGTCTTTTGATTCTAACTGCGATAAAAGTACGAGAAAAGGGGAAGAAAATATTAATTGAGGCTTAGAAAATGACAATTATGAAAAAATCAGTCAGCTTTTTATGTGAAGATGAAACGGAATGTCATTGCAAAGGAATTGAGAAATAAAATGAGAAGATCTGAAAAGTGCAAAAAATAATAGTAATGATAACAATAAATAATATAATAGTTTATCTAATGAATTTATTTTGTAGTAAGAGTCAGAACGTAGAGCCAGCTCGTCTGAGACGAATATTAAAATATACATTTGCATAACTGTTGTTGAATCATTCAGACGTTTATTTGTATAAGTTTTAAAATTTCTTATCAAAATGATTATAACTATTTTATTAATAATAACAAGACATATTTTTCAAGAAACTAATGGATATAAAACGATATTTTTGCTAATCCGGGGATGTTATAATCAGTTTAATTTCGGTGAAATTGATGGTACGTTGGAAATCTCAAAGTGCATCTGTATCTAATTCAATAAATTGCGAGCCCCTTCTGACTTTTGTATGGCGGTGTTGATGGGGGCGGAGAGGGGAGCAGCAAAGCGCCACGCAAGCGCTTCTTTGCATTTGGGAGGCGGAAGAGTGGGGGAGGGTTGGGGCGGGGGCGGTTGCGGTCCCGGCGGATCAAAGCGCGCTAATCCTATTGCGCAGGCGGAGACGTAAGCGGCTTCGGAGGGGGCTTTGGTCGGGCTCCCATGAGGCGATCAGCGATGACAAGCGGACAGTGCGGGCGGCGGGCGCGGCTGCGAACGGCGGGCGGCGGGCGGCGGTGGGCGGGCGGCGGTGGCGGGCGACGGTGGCGGCGCGGGCACGAGCGGCAGCGGCGGGCGGCGGTGTGGCGGCGGGCGCGGTGGCGGCGGGCGGGCGGCGGCGGCGGTGGCGGCGGCGGTAGCGGGCGGCGTGGCGGGCGGAGGGCGGCGGGCGGCAGGCGGCGGCGGCGGTGGTGGGCGGCGGCGGCGTGGCGGCGCGGCGGCGGGCGCGGTGGCGGCGGCGGTGCGGGCGCGGGCGCGGGCGGGCGGGCGGCGTGGCGGGGGCGGTGGCGGGCGGCGGGCGGCGGCAGCGGGCCGGCGGTGGCGGGCGGCGGTGGTGGGTGGCGGTGGCGGGCGGCGGGCGGCGGGCGGCGGGTGGCGGGCGGCGGTGCGGGCGGCGGTGGCGGGCGGCGGGCGGGCGGGCGGCGGGGCGGCGGCGGCGGGCGGCGGGCCGGCGGGCGGCGGTGGCGGCAAGTGGGCAGTGGCTGTGGGCAGTTGGAGGCGGGGCGGCGCGGCTGTAAGAAGAGGTTGCGGGTGGCAGATCCACAGGGCAGGTCGCGTCCCGCGCACGAACATGTGGGCGACAGGTGGCAGTGGGTTCCTTTACAGTCAACGAACTCTTCTGGAAACGGAATTATGCAAAACAATGGAGTTGGCGTGCGCTTAAATTGAGTTGCATAAATGACATTCGTGAACGCTTGAAAATTTTACGAATTTTTGCGGAATTTTTTTGCGGAATGCGAATTTTTTATTAAAATTTCAATAAGATATAATTATATATTTTTGGTTTCCTTTTCTTTCATTCTCTGTAATATAATGTTACATATTTATTTAGTGTTAGATTAAGTTGGAACTGCAAGTTTAACGATGACATTAATTGTCACTCTTAGTCAAATTTCAGCATATTATAGTTTTTGTTTCTTACAAATTAACCGAAACTCACAATTAACGAATTGGAATTTTTGTTTACATACATAAGCAAATTCTTTATTCTATCACACATGCACATACGAGGATTGAACGTGCTTTTTTGTAGTAAAATGTATTTACTTCCGTAGGTTCAGCTATTTAAAATGCATTTTTACCAAGTAATGTGGAGAGGTTATTGACTTCCTTCATTTTTACTAAGGAGTAAAATTAATAATATTACAAAAAATCAGAAGAACAAGAGCTTAGAGATAACTTCTTGTCATGGAAACTTCCGAGAAGTTTTTTTTTTTTTTTTTTTTTTTTTTTTTTTGTTGTGTTCTCCGTGCAGTGTTTACTGGTTTTGGCAAAGCGAGCGCGGGGAAGGGCGTCTTTGTCCGCGCAGTGCGCGCTGCAATTTGCTTTGGCGCGCAATGCGGTCCGCGCGTCCTTCTGGTGAATAGCACGCGCGACTCCTTTCGCGCGCTGCAAAAAATGAGGTGTCAGCGTCAAGGAGCGCAGCCCCCCCCCCTCTCGCCCTCCTCCTGCGCCCCAAGTGGCGACGCCTTCCGCCACCGGCCGCGCCAGCGCCCGCTGCCGCCACCTGCGCAATTACGCCCCTTTGAGGACGTTCTCCTCAGCCGCTTTCTTTCGCGCGGCAAAAAGGGCTTTCCATTTATATCTCGCATCCGCCCCCTCCGCCCGTCGCCACCGCTCCGCTCTGCGCCCAAATCCATTACGCAAAGACCTCCTGCCTCCGCCTGCGCCCAGACCGCTGTCTCCGCTCCGTCACGCCACGCCCCTGCCCGAAATCACACGCCCCTCGCGCGCCGTCCTCGGCCCGGTCACGCCTGCCCTGGCCCTCGCTGCCCCCCCGCCCCACCGCCGCCCGCCCGCCCGCCCTGCCCTGCCTTCCCAATTCCGCCCTGTCTCGCCTTGGTCTCTCCTGACCCGCTGTCCGGCTCTGCTGCCGGTCTACCGGTCCTATCCGTCCCTGTTTCCTCCTCTCCCTCTGGTTCTCTCTCTTCTCTCTCTCTCTTCTCTGATCCGCTATCTCTCACTGTTCTGAACTCTCTCCCTGTTCCACCGTCTCCACCTTCCCACTGTCCCCCGCCCCCCGCTCCGCGTCCTCCCCGCCGCCCTTGCCTGGATGGGCCCTGCCTAGTTTCTTAGTCGTGTCCTAATGCCATCCATTTCTCCTTTTCGCTCCCGCCCCATCCCCTCCCCCCCGCTAGGTTTGCTGTGTTCCCTCTCGGCCTTCCCATCCCGCTCCGCTGTGTCGACTCATCGCTCGACGCGCACCGCAAGAGTCCACGCCGCCCCGCTCCCGCCATCTCCCTTGCCTTTGGGCGCGCGCTTGCCCGCCCACTCGACAAAGGCGCGCGGCGTCGCGCGTGGGCGCCGAAGTTGCGGGGAATGCGACAATCGTTGCCATTGCCGGCTATATTACTTGGTCCCGCGCCGGCGACAAATTGCGCGAGCCCGACCTCGCCAGCCCGCTCATCGACTCTTGGAGATTAATCGCTTCTCGACAACGCGGATGAATCGTCACCTGCCGCGCCGAGGAATTAATTAAAAGGAAAACGCTCGCGGGACTGGAATGCGGACGCCACCGACTCGCGGTGAGCGGCGGTGGGGGCGGTGAGGGCGGTGGGGGCAGTGAGGGCGGTGGGGGCGGTGGGGCAGTGAGGCGGTGGGGCGGTGAAAGGCGTGAGGGTGTGGGGGCGGTGAGGGCGGTGGGGCGGTGGGGGCAGTGAGGGCGGTGGGGGCGGTGAGGGCGTGGGGGCGGTGAGGGCGGGAGGGCGAAGGTCGTGGCAGAGGAACGTGGGCGGGACGCACTCGCGCAGAACGGCTGTGGGTGACGTCGAGTGCGACGCGGAGAGGGCCCTGGTCGCAAGTTGAGTGAAGGGGCGTAAATCGACTGCACCCCTCGGTCAACTTTTCCTAACCGTTTACCTACCTCCCCACAGAGCCATAACCGGACTACATTTCGTTGCGTTTTCCTACTCAGTATAAGGATTAATTTCTTCGTTTACGTTGGCCTGCTGAATATTATATTCATCGATTGTAATTGATAAGTACACTTCAGTTTTCAAGAAACATTTACGTGCCCTCTTTGAGCACAGACAACGTTGAAACCCACAGATTAATAGTTTGTGAAAACAAAACTAGTTCTCCAACCTCCTATCCCGAGCATCTGCGTACCAGGCTTACTTAACACACATAATTCTGTCAATTCTGACACATCCACCTGTGTTCGAGGTTTGCTCTGGACTGAAAGGAAAACATCTACTTGCTCTAATTATAAACGCAGACTTAAAATGTTGAATCTTCGGAAACATTGGGTGAACGAAATGTGATGCAGTCGGTTTATGCCTTCTAAGGTAACGTAGGAGAAAGGGGAACGACTGAAATGTGGAGGTGAGGGAAAGCAATTGCTAGATGTAATCGGGCAATTCCAGCGTGAAGTGAGATGTAAAATTAAACAGGGAGACGAGAGATCGGGTTGCTCACACTACATTTGAAGTCGTGAGGCAGACTTCATTCCTATTTCGATTCTCGATTTTGAGTTAAAGTACCGTGGTTCATTTCTTATGTTTTACTTAAGCATAAGCACAGAAGCTTGAAGCTCGCAAGCTTTTAAGTTAACGTCTTACGTGTTATACTTATGCGAACGCATTGGAATGAGTCCGCTAATGGACGTAGTTCTAACATTTATGTTAACGCCATGCTTATGTTTATGTTTTCATTGCAAATGACCCTTTATGCTATCGACGTGAGTATTGCCGGAACCTGACAGGAGGGTTCATGGTCTCCATCGGGACTTCTACATGAGGGATTTGGAGCATTATATGAAGAATATACTTCACCCATGCCGGCCTAAAGGTCGTCGCGCCAACTGATGTGTTATCGGGCGAACTCAATAAGACGGAGCTTAGCATCGCCTACTCACTGCCTCCATCTTGAAACTAACGACGTGAGTGCCGCCGTGAAACTCAGGTTTCAGCTGGTCGTGCACAACTTGCTACCGGAAACCATGCCCGACAACGCAGTCACGCTTCTCAACTGCGGGGTAAAAACAACGCAAGAAAAACGATGGGTGCGTTTGTTACGTGTACGTGCTTGAAAGGGAACTGAACTGTTGGGAAGCGGGTTAGTAGGTGGGAGAAAGGGGCGGTCGCATGCCTGGGCGCAAGTAATTGACGAAACACTCGGACGGCGCCTACTCGCAAGAATCCGGACGCGTCTTTTTTCAATTTCTCTTCGCTTTATAAATCATTCTTCCGAGAACTATGTCGTTATCCAATAAACCTATGCTTAATCAAAATACGAATATCGCATGCGCGGGATAGAACGAGGATAGACATTCGGCAAGATTATTGCTGGCTGTTATCGAATCGGGCAGAATTTTGGAATTAATGAAGTCGTGTTGAATATCTTGAGAGAGACATGTCTTTTGGGTGTTCAAAGTGTAACACGAGTAGAAGAATGTTATCTTGTAACTAAAAATAAAAACGTAAAAACGGTTAGTGTGATTTCAAAACGAAGAGTATAAATTCAAGAAGGTTTTTAGTCCACCAATTTCTAAGGTGATTAGTGATTTTGAAATTTCCATCTAATATAGCCTCAAACATATTTGCCACACGGCTTAAAAAGTATTATATTCAACACGTGCGAGAGATAATTCGCGAATTTCGTACGGCATTCATTATTTCATAACAATTAACTGTTACATCGACTTCAAACAACGAAAAGGGAACAAAAACATTTTGTTGCGGCGTCTAATGAGACTATTAACACTCAGCAGTCTGTTCAGAAGAAACAAAAGCTTAAGGTGGATTATGAGTACTTGCATTGCAAAGAAAGATTTATTATTTTTTCTATTATCTTTTTTCTTGTATGAAGGTATGTATGAAGGAACATCGGACTTAATGAGTTACATACCTTGGACATCACCGCAGTTTACCAAAATCAAACATGCCTGTTGATTGTTCTGTATCAGCGTAATGACATTGAAAACTATATCGCTTGAAGTCAGTACCCATTGAAGGAACCACATTCTGAGTCGAAGTACTCAGTAGAACTCACAGAAGAAAAAGCGTTAGGATTCAGAATCGTCTTTTCATTTTATAACTTTGAGCGGCGGAAAAACGACTCGCAATTTGTAAGGACGCAGAATTCAAAGAAGGCACGAAAAGACAAATGCATCCGCAAGCGCGTTGCGGGACCCCAAAGGCCAGAGAGCGGAGTGACTCTCTTGTCAAATCTCTCCTCTTCGGGCGCCCGGCGGTTGAGAGCGCGAGGAGGTGGGGTGGGGTGGGGCGGGTCCACGG